GCTCGTCCACCAACACAGCCCGCCCCACGCCAACAAAAAAACCAGCCCCAGCCCCCGGCCGCCGCCGCGCCAGCGCCGCCGCCGCCAGCCCAGCACCCGCCTGCGGCAGCTTGCGCATCATGCCGGGCGCCTTCTCCCGCGCCTCGCACAGCGTGACCAGGAACTCGGCCGCCAGGGTGCGCACCCCCTCATCCAGGGACTCGCTCTCGGCGATCTGCGGTACGTGTCATGTGGGGCGGTACAGCGGTAAGGGTGGGGTCAGCACAACTTCGCATGCCTTGTCCAGCGACTCGCTCTCGGCGGGATGTGGCGCAGGGGCGGTACAGCGGTATGCGTGTGTGGCCGGTGCAGCACGCCCTCGAAACCAGCAGCAAGGGAGTCTCAGGCCAGCAGGCGAGGCAGCACAGACCACGCACGTGCCATGCACCTGCCACCATGTACCCATCACATAGACCCAAACACACCCTCACTCTCTCTGTACACACACATGCTACACACACACCACCACCCCACACAGGGCCCCACCTGCAGCATGGCGTCCACCACCTGCGGCAGCTGGCGGCGCAGAAAGCGCGGGTGCGCCTCGGCAATCTCGATGAACATCTCGATGGCGTCCTGCGGTACGGTGATGTGGTACGGTACTGGATCGGCGACACATCGAGCCGTACCATAAAGCTTGGCAGTAGCAGTACAGTGCGGGGGCGGCGCGGGAGAGGGGGAGCGGGACTGCCCGGGTGGCGGGATGGCGGCAGACAGCAGCACTATGAAATGAGAGGGTGGCACCACGGCCCGGGCAGACAGGGAGGCCTGCCCGGCTGCCCTCCAGGCTGCGAGGCCCGCCGGTCGCTGCGCCCGGCTCGACGGCAGCCCTGCCAGGCGGCAGGCGCGCCCACCTGCGCGCTGCTCTCGTCGCCTTCGTTCAGAGAGCGTCCGATGCACGCCAGCAGGGCAGGCAGCGTGGACTGCGCAGGCAGGGAGAAGGGGCAGGGGAGGGGGGGGGGGGGGGGGGGG